TTGCTAAAGAAGTACAGATGTTATTCACGATACTGCTTTTATATCTTATCAAAACAATTATAGTGTATTTATATAGATCACCTAGAAATTCTTTTTAATTTTGGACACTGCAGGATATATATATCTTTTAACATTATTGGTGTGGTGTGTGGTCCAGTGGGTTCGGACTCTCTGCCTGTGGTCAGAAGGTCACTGGTTTAAATACCTGACCGACAGAGTGATGCTGGTTTTGGGCCCTTGAGCAAGGCCCTTACCCCCCAGCTTCAGGGGCGCTGGATGCTGGCCAACCCTGCGCTCTGACCTCTCACCTGTATGTGTGTGTAAAAGAGGGCAAGATCAGAGAGGCAACAACACTCTTTTACCAGGGGGATGAATAAAGAATCACTATTTCATCCCCATCTGACAGGACTGATAATTGTCTGATTAGTATTTTGGAAATTTAACAGGTTCTCAGGTACAATAAAACAGAAAATAAGGATTACACTCATGGTGTCAGCAATTCAAAAGTCATATAAAAAATAATTAAAAAGCTCTTCTTGACATTCAAATCCCACATAAACACGCACACACACATATCCCAGGCAGGAACTAAATCCAAAACCCTAGAACCCCTGGCTCAGCTGTAGTGCTGATCACTGGACCCCAGCACTGCTCAGACCTTTATAAAAATACTTATACAAATATAGGGCTGCAACAACCAAGCGATTAAATCGATTAAAATGGACTATTAAAATAGTTGGCAACTAATTTAATAATCAATTCGTTGGGTCTACGTTATTATACACACAAGTACAGTGGCTACCCCCTAATTTGGTAGCAGTAAGCTAACCAAAGGCGCGGTGGCAGTAAAGCACTATTAAGCTGGATACCAACCGCCATAAAAGAAAAAGGAGACGAGAGCCATTGCCGAGCCTTGAGTAGCTTACGTGATGAATTCTGGAAGAATTGAAAAAAATGTTTGAAAATGGCGGAGGCGGACACAACATAGTCTTGTTTTAATTCTGCCAGAAACGTGAAAATGTACTTATGCATTTACTCGGTCGGCAGTACGTTGCCAACTAGCCTGCCTGCTTTTGTTAGCTGCAGTGGTACTGGGCTTTCTTTGCAGTGTTGATTTAAACTCCTCATAACCTTGCAGAATTAGCATACTCCGTGAAACATGGAAATCGCGTCTATGGCAAGGCCATATATAACATTTAATCTCTAGACTGGATATGTATTGCAGATATCCGTAATTCAAATTCTTCCAAGTCAAAAAGAGTGTTTCAGATATCCACAATGACATTCTTCCTGTCCACAATTGTCATTTCAGATATCAACGTCGTCATTCTTCCTAGGAGAAATTAAGTCACTTTTGCCCTTCATGTCTATTGGGCTTTCAATTTCAGATATCCAGAATTACATTTCAGATATCCAGAATTACATTTCAGATATCCAGAATTACATTTCAGATATCCAGAATTAACAAAACCAAAAGGACCACGAGGGGTCAAAAACTAAAGGGGATAAATAAAGCACAAAAACCGAATACACATCAAAAACAGAAAATAGCAAAAACCATTGAACATCGCAAACAACAACAACAACAATGATGCCCTGAAGAACTAAACAGAAGCAGGAACTAAAATACTAAGGGGTAACGAGACTAACACAGGACAGGTGAGGCTAATTAACAAAGACCAGGGAAACAGGGCACAGGTGAAACTAATAAACTCAAAGGAACTAAAAACAGGGAAACTAAGAACTAACCAAGGAAACAGGGAAACAGAAACCAACACTAGGGAATTACAAACAGGTAAAGACACAAGCAGGGGCACAAGGAACAAAACCAAAACCAACCACAAAATCAGACACAAGTACTAAAGAAACTCAAATGAAACACTAGGGAGCAAAATACAAAAACAGAGGAGGCGGGATTTGGACACAGGACAGAAGGGTACACAGACAACCACATGCTCAGCACATTTAGCCACATGACCAGACAGATAACAGGGGAGAACAAAGACTAACATGAAGGATGAGATGACCAGCAACGCCTGCTGGTCAAACGGGGAAGGGACACAGAGTGAGACAACAGGGGCTGACCCTGACACTGGATATCCGAAATTGAATTCTTGATAGGAAAAATGACGTGCCTTCCGCCAGTATGTTTCCCTATCGTCGTCATTTCAGATATCTAGAATGGCGGTTCGACGTACATCCGGTAAAAATATATAAATATAAAAAATATAAGCCAGCTAAATTATTGATGCCATCCATACTGTTGCTATGACAGTTCTCTAAAAACCCCTTATTACAAATAAATTAATAACTACATACGTTTTAATAGAAAGCTAAGAACTTGCACGGTAAAATATAAAACGTTCTTTGTTTCGTCCGCCTCACGTTGCTGAACATATAGTTTTTGCTGTTAATTCAGCGGAACATAAAGTGATCAGCATGATACGTTTAGCTCATCTGTACTGTTCAGCACAAATACAGACTACTGTGCAATTAAATCAGTATTAGCCGGGAGTTTTGCTCCAGTTTCATTTTTGATTTGGTCACCCAGAGGGTATGCTGACAGACAGACAGACAGCTAGCGCAAGTGCCGTGTTGAGGGGCTGTCAGTTGTTCGCAGTCAATGCATGGGATGGTCATTCATTCACAAAATGCATAATTTTGACCAGAGCATGTAAGTTGAGCTCATCGCTCACGGACCTGTACGCTCCTCCAGCTCCCCCCCACTCACAGCCGCTTCGCTCATTATTGCCCCCCTCACGGGTCAATTTTAATCCCACTCCAAGGAAATCGCTCACCGCTGTCTCCAAGAACGAAAGTTTTAGCCTTAACATTAGCCTGGCATCAAAATAAATGAGCAGTCAAATCCACATTCAAGTAGAAATGGTTTATTTCTGGGTCAGTCATGCTTCAGACACAGCAGATAAATAGATTTGCCCCCCCCCCCCCCCCATCAATAATCGATTAATCGGAAAATAATCATTTATCAAATTATCAAAATAATCGTTAACTGCAGCCCTATACAAATTTTACAGAGTCTCAGGGTAACTCACCCTATAAGGTCATTAAACAGAAGTTTGATCTCAAATAAAAACTGTTTGTCTTGCTGACTACGACAGGGAAACAACAAAATTACTGATATATTTAAATATCCCAGTTAATGAATGGATTTTAGAGCATGTTCACTCTCATACTCTTATTCAAATTGGCTCTGTAGGACAATATAGAACAGGATTTGGGAATGTATGACTTATACAGCAAATAGTGAAAATACACTGTAAACTCACAGGAGAATCTGTATTATACCAAAATCTATTCATCTGACTAAGTAGGCTATATGCTTCATCACTTATTGTATTTTAAAATAAAAATGTTTATTTTGATAT